GCGGACAGTCGGAGATCTGCGCTCGGCCCTGCTGAGCCCGTCTGCTCCATCTGAGACGTCCAGAGGAATGTTGCTGATGCTGCCGTCTCTGGGTCAACAATCACAGCCAGTCCCCTGCTGTTTGTTTGCTGAAAGACTGGACCCGCTCCTCCATGTAAAGCCAACTCATTCTGAGACCTGGCTGGGTGAAGATGAGAGTTTAACAGACTGTAAGTTCAAGACTTTCACTTGATAAACAGTGAATCGTAAAGAACCCAGAGCTTTGCGGCCAATATAAGCTTTGATTCTTGAGAATGTCTTGTCCGAGCTTTGACTCTGTCCCCAAACAACTCACCAAACCAACCACGTCCGGCTATTTAAGACCAGGCCTTCAGATCCTGATAAATCTGAGCTGTAATGGTGATAAATCTTAAACTTCAACAGCTTTAGTGTTTGCTATTTATTTTAATGACTTCCCTGTTTCCCTTAACCCTCTGAAAACAGATTTAAAGCCCGGCAGCTCCTAACAGGCCGCAGGAGACTGTTGTTTTCATGATCCTGTTTTAAAACTGGAAAATAAAAAGGAAGTCAAGACCTTGACCTTCATCAATTTGTGATGATGGCTGTTTGTTACGTAAGGTGAAAAATGTTCATATCTCAAAGACTATTTACACTAAAACGTATATACTCGTTCAAATAAGTGTTAGGATATATTTTGTTCATGTTTCTATGTTTAGAAAATCTTTTGGATCAGTGTTTGTGTTTATTTAGCAAAAGTGACAGAAAACAAACACAACATTTTTGCCTCCAGGATATTTTCCTCCTTTCACACATTTTTTAAACTGAATTGACGTCTCACTCCTGCTGAGAGTTGCCGCACCTCTGTTGACTCTGACTCTGACCCTGACTCTGACCCTGACTCTGACTCTGACTCTGACCCTGACCGCAGTGTCGTGTCACACCTGACCGTGCGTCTGTCTGATCTGAGGTGGCATCACTGCCCTTTTCTCTAATGGATCATCTCTAATGGCGTCACTGTGCTGCAGCGAGTGGCAGGTGATTATCACACGTGAGTCATTGAGCTGCTCTGTGAGCGAGACCTTCAGGCCGAGCTGCCCTCTGCTTGTTTGGAGATAAATCAGAGCACTAAGTGGACTGGGCCCTGGCACGATGACCAGGCAGCTTGTACTGTATGTTCATGTGATGAAGAGGAGTTTAGGAGTTTGGAATTTAAATTTTTACTAGGAAATTCATTTTCACCCTGGTCCCTGCGATGGAAACTCTCATAGCTCTGTCACTGGTTCCTGGGGAAAGTTCCTGCAATGGAAACTTCTCTTAAATCTTCAAGGAGTTAGTGAAACTGTCAGATAATAATCCTTTTGATTGGCGGCTGGACGCTGAGCGGTAATCTTAATGCATTTGTTTGCATCGCTGCACCAGTGTCAGCTTCAGTGCGTCTTATTTAAAGACATTCAACCTCTGGATTACTGCAAAGTCCACCTTCATTGCTACCAAACTAATGTTCACCTCTTATGTAACTTTGATTAAGTGTCTTTGTGAAATATTCCTTTACATTAAAAAGATCTGCAAGGATCTTCGGAACGTTTACTGCTGAACGTTGGGACGACGCCAAGGTTTTGGCAGCATTCACGTTTGAACCTTGGGGTCGTTATTATATTTATGTGCTGCAGGTTTACTTCTGCCACAGAATCACTCAGCCTCACTCTGACAGTAACTTTAAAGACGAGAGCAGGGAGATGAAATTTCGAGCTCAAGAATCAGATGCACTCAGCTTCTCGCAGAGCGTCGGCAGAAATGACTGGGAGCCAGTTTTCCAGACATTCCAATCGACTGCAGCTCCAGATGTCGCTCGTTCCATTCAGAGTGACGGACATGGGTACTGACGCTGGAGCACATGAGGATACGTGTTTGACATGTTTCACATTGAGTAAACACTCTCATGAGGCCCCGACACTCTCTGTGGCTGTAAACAGGAAGCAGAGAGGATTCTGGGAAAACTGGCAGCTTCTTCTCAGCTCACTCTTTTTTAGTTTTTATTCTCTTGAATCAACATGATGCTCTACATGGTATAGAATGAGTTTGACGCCTCACTGACTCAGTATAAGTTCAATGATTTTGCTTTTTTTTTTGCACGTGTCATCATCACAGAAATGAATGTTGATGCAGTTATGTGAGAAATCAGGAGTTTGTTATTTTCCAGGATTACTAATCACATAATTGAACATTATTGAACTTTTTAGTTTATTATTAATTAACCTGAAAGTCGCGGCAGCTGCTTATCAATGTCACTAATTTCTTTTTATGATATCTCATTGGTTTTTCACCGTCTCCCTCAGGACAGCGTTGACTCTGTTTACCTCGGTCCTCCGCTTTCCTAATTCCAAGGAAATGTTCTCGTTCCCCTCATGCATTTCTTTTTTTAATCTGACAGTCTTCCATCATACATTCTCTTATCTGCTGCATCTGAGCAGCATAAGCAAAGCAGAAGTAAGATTGAGAGTAGGAGTCTGCAGGTTAATTCTTGAAACCTCCTGGGCCTGCTTCATCGAGTTTGTTGAGAGCATATCATTAATTTGATTCAGATGTTTTTATCTTAAATATCTTTCATGTCAATATTGATAATGATAATCTCTATATTTGTATCGCAGTTCTCCGGACGAAGTTCCAAAATGCCGCACAAATAAAAAACCACAAGTAAAGACACATCAAAATAAATCTCAGTCAAACTAAACCTGTAATTTACACTAATAAAACCATGTGAGGTCCGAATATGGAAATAATTCAGCTATCACATATCAAATATCCAGCAGTTCAGCTCAGCTCTCATTGAATAACTTCTGGTGAATGATATTAAACAATAGTTTTGCTTCTGGGCTCATTTTTGTGATGAAACATGAACCACACTGCTCATAACAAACTAAGTCAAACCATCAGTCCGTTTGTTGCACATTCATCCATCTGCACGTTTGATTCCGAGGTCCGAGGTAATACAGTGGCCAAGGAACTTAGAGTTTGGTGATGTCAGGAGCAGAAACGACCCTTATATGGCTGCACATGCATCTCCCTTCATTTGGAAGAGAATAAAACACGCAGCAGTTTGGAATACTACAGCGAAATGTGCCGCGTCTCAATCCAAAATAAACCTTCAGATTCCCAATTCCACATTTCGGGAGAGTTTGTGCATAGCAGAGAGGTTAGTCACTGCTCAGTCCACAGACTGACTTCTGTTTTATGTCGTTTTTAACTCAGAACGTATTGTTTCGTCCAAATCCTGAGATGGTGCCATGTGAAGCCGGCACTCACACTCTGCTGCAGGGAGACATTGAAAGTAGAACATAATGCAAACAGTGCAAAACCACAAACCGCTCTGACATAAGCTGTTTGCAGACATGCACAGACTTTAATTCAATTTCTTAACTATTTCTTTTGGCCGACTCTCAAGTCGTTTTAATTTTATTGTTGCTTTCTGCAGGGGAAGATGATATTTATGTCTTAAGTGACACAGTATGACTTCAGCTCGCTTTACTGCAGTGGTGAAAAATGGTGTCAGTGCTGCATACATGTGTTGAGTCCAGCTGGCGTGTGTCTGTTTTCATAACTGCCCATTGTTGTTATCTTCTATTCTATTCTCTAAAAACCCCAACTTGACATTTTACTGGCATACAGCCATTCCAGAAAATTTCCCCTAAAGAGTCCCCTAAACACGCTGGATTTATTTTTCAAGATCCATGAACGTTTCGCAGAGAAATCGTTTGAAATGTGTTTTGTCTTTCCACCAAGTTTCATGGTAATGTGTGGAATCATTTTTTGCACAATCCTGCAAAAAGACAAACAAACACAGATGACAACATCAGCTCCTTGGCGGAGACAATAGTGGTGACTTTTTTCTGCACATGCATGTCAGAGATGAAGGCAGAGCCGCTGTGAGGAGGAGGAGAGAACTAAACATTCAGCTCAGCGAGAGTTGGTGTTTTCCCTCAGGACGACTGATAAAGCATTTGGCAGGAAAGGCTTTAGAAACAACTGCATTCCTTCTTAACCTTGCCGAGCTATTTTTACCAATAAAGGGCTTGTTGAGTGGGTAACTTTTGTTCGCCCTGTCGCATGAAACAGGAAAGACTGGTTTGCATTGTGTCCCTCTGGGAGTTTGGCCCCGGTCTCTGTCTCTCGTCACGATCCAACCATCCATCCTAATGTCCAGCTCTGTTTACGCCATGCATCTTCGCCGCTCTCGACAGCTGAACCCGCTAACTCTGCCGCTCTGTTTGCTCTAAAGTAATGCAAATAGGAAGCTGGGACAGAGCACATATTTCATGATGAAGTGAAGAAGCCAGAAGCTGGAGGTGTTCCCAGGCAAAGTCCGAGATCAATCCAGAAATAATGAAAGAAATCTCCCTGCTCCTCGTCCGTCAAAGGGATGTTTGCGCTCCGTTTGTTTGCTCGTGTCTTTTGTGTTTTCAAGGGACATTCCTCTGGTCAGAAAAATCCCCTCTGACCGTCCTCAGGAGGTGAAAGGCCTCGGAGCAGGCGTCATCCTGTGTCCTGAGTGGACTCTGGGTAGTGTTTGAGTTGTGTTTGAGCTGCAGCTCCTCTGGGATTCCTGGAAGTGGATGTGATCACGTCTTGAGAGGATTAAGAGCAGACGAGGCAGAGGTCGACCTCACTGTGATGGTGGGAATGACCTCGCTTGTCACCAGGCATCTGTCACCAGTGAAAGTTATTCTGGATTTTCTTCAGGGATTCCGAGACAGTATCAGGGAGACGATTTCCAATACGATAAATTAACTGATATATTTGGAAAGATGTCGTTATCAAACCCTTATGACAAAGAAATGAGGCGTGAAATTTACTATTAAGAACTATTAATAAAACTAAGTGTCAGTTTTCAAATTTGGCTAAACTGACCTCAGGTTGTTTCTCCTGTGTATATAAACATATTATTCTCGCTCTCTAACCAGAGGCTGATCTCATGAGTTTTCTTCCAACTCTTTTTCTCTCAGAGTCTGGATGAGCTGGACGACGACGACGCAGGGGAGAAGGACAGGAAGGAGGAGGAGGAGCTGGTTCAGGCCAACACGTTCCAGAATGAGTCCATGGCTGCTGACCCCGCCACCGGCCACTTACTGGTGAGATGTGACATGAAGCAGGAGAGAGATACACACACTGAACTCTTCACTCAGACCAAGTAAATATAATAGTTTTCCAGGCTGAAGTGTCTGTCTGTCATCAGGCTGATGCATCCATGCTGCCAAACGGAGGCAGTGTTGCTCAGGGAGACACCAGGAGGTTTCAGGAGCTGAGTGTGAGAAGCTGATTCAGATGTGTCTTTGCATTTCATCATCACTGTGAAATCCGTTAAAACCAAAAAGAAATGTCCTAAAATGTCTACTCTATATTTCAACAAGCCAAAGAAACAGAGACCCTGTTTCTAATGAGGCTAAACTTAAACCTAGAAGGTGTTTTCAGATAATTAGTCACAGTTAAAATTTAAATTAAATATGAGATTAACAAACGTTTACAAGCTGATCCAGCTCCTCGCCTCCTCAGACATCAGGAGCTGCTCCATTCAAGCTTCAGGTTTCAGCCGGACGCTTAAATCACACCTCCAGTAGCCGGAACCAATCCTGTGCAAGATTCACATCGTCACATTACAAAGAAACGGTTTGATCGGAGATAAACTTCCTGTTTAGCCAAATGTTGGTGTAGACGACGAGATGCATCACAGAACCCATACTTGCTGTGTGCTACGTGAGCATGTTCCTGGAGTAGTCCACTAGAGGGCACAGATAGACACACACCGTATAGAAATGACATTCTGTAAATTAGAAAACATGGCGACACAGATGCACATGTGTAGTTTAAAGTATATCTCCAGCTGCACAGAGGGAGAGGGGGCGGAGCTTACGGCCATAACAAGTGACATCACCTTGAGTTTGCTTTTTAACTGCTTGATTAAGGATCATTTCGATTTTCAGAATTAGTTGCAGCCCTAAAACATGACAAAACAAAGTGAAGAGCTCCGTTCATCAGCGTCTGGATCTGTTCTGTGAATAACGTCTGCTTCGCAACGACATGAACCAGACACCGGTGATTACCGCAAAGTGACTCTTACAAGTTTGGCAAGTCGCTCAGTGTTTATGTAATAAAAAGTGAAGCCGCGCAGAGATCGGCTTCTCGTCCAGGAGAGTTTCTGAAGAACGGAGGCGATAAATTAATTGTTGGAAATGAAACCAAACCGGAATCGACCCACTCAGAATTTCAGCCCTCATTATTTTTGAAGAGCAGTTCATATCGCGTCTGTAATTTCAAACCCAGATCGAGTCGCACACAGCGATTTTCAATAAGACTCTGAGAACATCGAGGGAATGAAAAGCATCCAACTGTGTGACAACGACTGAAACCTCCACCCTGTGTGTGTTTCTCTAAGAAAATAATCCGGCTGATATGAAAATTGAGTGAAACAGAATAAATCAGATTTGCTGCGTTGCTGACGGTTCCTGTGGATGTAGCCGAGAGCCGCGTTCCAGACGGATCGGCTGTTCTGCATCAGGAGGCTTATTCTGTTTCGAGGCTGCGGCTGCTTACACAGAACGAATGCTTGTGTACGAAGTATGTACACAAACGCCGCACTAACAGGAAGATTGTGACAGCACCTGCTGAGATCTGCCCCGCAGAAATAAAACGCTTAAAAGCAAAGGATTTGATTATTTACACAAAGACGTCTACGCATAAACAAACAACGAGGACTTCAGCAGAATGGTCTCTCAGCAGCTTGGCCTCAGATCTGTCCGTGCAGAGATCATTTGAAACAGAATACGTTCACTCGTCTCTGCCGATTCTATTGTTACAACACGAGGCCTAACTCGGACCAGATGCACAAAACCATTAGACGTCTCTGTGTCTCTGACGTCCATGTTGCTGCTGGGGGTCCTGTGCCAGCTCCGCTCCTGAGGAGGCAGACGAGAGCGGCTCAGTTCCAGTGTGGTCAGAGGATTTACTACAGAGCCGTCATCTGTGAAGACGGAGCATCCCAAAAATGTGCTCCTCGTCTCAGGCCCCATTTATCACAGGGGGGGGGTAATTGCCATGTCGGGGACAATGTGATGTAGAGCGTCCTGTCCGGCCTCTCAGCTGTTATCAAGACACAGCATGTGGGTGAAAAAAGTTTTAAAGACAGAGCTTGGTTCTGCTTGTTTTCAGAGCTGCATGTCCCCAGGTCTCAGAGGCGTTCACAACCAAGACGAGCTGTAACTCGTGTGTTCGATGCCGAGGACATGATGGAAACTCCAGAGAGGACGACGCTTTTCATCAGATGTTTTAAATTCTGCAACGTCTTTCCTGGGATACATGTAACTAGTTTGATTCATGGTCTTTATGCATATTTGTGGCAGTACACGCATAACTGACATGTGTGGCCCGGTCGGAGTACATGTGCTCCTGGTTTATCAAGCCTCGCCTGCCTCGTGTGTGCGAGTCCGACATGGAAACCTGCTTCACTGATCCAGCAGCCAGAAGCCTACGGAACATTCCTCGCCATCATCTGCTTTTAATGTGGCGCCGTGTCCGCAGCAGAGCGTTCCATCTCACTTTGTGTTTCTCTCCTCCTCACCTGCAAAACCCGTTCTGCCGACGGCCTCCATCTCACACTTTATAATGAGACTCATTTGCATTTTTAATTAGCACCTCTGAGTCCAAAAAGAGCGGCGCTGGTGCAGAGCGTCTCGTCTGAGCAGCAGCAAAACGTTAACCGCACGTCACACGACATTTCTAACCAGGAGGTAGCAGGAAACTGGATTTCATTTTGTCGCGTTCACACATCCTCATTATTATTTATCAAACTAATCAAAACACTAAGATTTTTCTTTGACGGGCAGAAATCCACCCGTGATTAACACGTGTGCAGAAGGTGCGTCAGTCACAAAAACACCAATTTAATTCTCTGCAGCTGTTCTTCAGGTTCATGTTGTTTTCAGCTCCGGTCCTTCGTGTGTGTTTCAGTTTGTCGTCTTGTTTCCTCAGCCGGGAGTAAAGGCTCAGGCAGCTCGGGGAGGTTAGCGTCTTAATTAAAACGCTGTGTGAGAGAAATGCAGAACATCTCCTCTGTAACAACTGAGCAGGTAAAACGTGTCGTCTGTGTTCATCAGAAGAGATCACTGAGACTTCCTCGTGTTTAAGTCACAGGGTCAGTGTGTGTGATGACCTGTGGGGACATTTGATCTGTCAGAGTCTTATCGTGAAGTGGTTGTGGAGACGTGCTCTCAGCAAACAGCAGGTTTTAGTTTGTATTTGCTGATTTGAGGATAAAGCTCCTCTGCTGGAGCGTCACCGTCTGTTCTCTTTTGTTTTTCCTCTTCATATCATAACGTCTAAATGATGACTGGCACAGATTCACACATCTGCTCACCACGCTGACCTTCTCTTATATTGTGGTCGCGACTCAGATGTCAACCCTTTTCACCTCAGAAAACTCATCAACCCACTTTACTGACCTTCGTCTTCCTGCCAAAAGCCGTAGAATATGAAACTATGATGAAGCAGATAATTAGTTTTCAGGTGCATATTGGAAACCAGCAGCAGACTGGTTTTCTGGGTCTCAATTTATACTGGACTTTGAAAGCAATACACACATTTACATTTAGACAGCATTTTTTATTTCTACACTCTGATCTGAATTGACTCTGGCCGTTTTTGAGGAACCTGGCTTTGAAAACTATATGAACCATATCTCAACTAAAAAGTTTTCTTTCTTCCTCATTTCTTCACTGGTTTGAGTCTGTCTTATCTAACTGTTTACTTTGGGACGGAGCTAAGCCTCCAACGTTGACAGATTTGATTTTTTATTTATTTTCTTGTCGTTGTGATGCCAGCGTCTAAAACCAGATATAAAGAAGCAATTTGGGAAAACTGTGACGGATGCTTTTCTCTATTTTGTGACATTTTATTGACTAATCGGTTTAGTCTGAATATAATATTACTCTGCAATGAAAGTTAATCTAATTTTCCGACTTACAAGTGAGACACTGACCTAATGAACTTGTCTTGGTCCTTAGAGGAGACGTATTCTGCTCATATTCAGATTCATCATACACATATAACAGACTGTCGGCTGCTGCAGCTCCTCTTTTCAGCCTCTGTCTGAAACACTTGGTTTTAGCTCCTGTCTCTTTAAGGACCACCTCAAAAAAACGATATGAAACGCCAAAGAAAAGAAAATGCTAAGACGCGTCTGCACAGGAGGACAGGATAGAGGACGTCTCTGATGACGATTTGGTGGTTTGAGGTTTTTGTTTCAGCGTAGATTTGAAGTACAAGGAACTTGTTAGATAGCGCCATCTATTGGCCTTAGACTAGATTACTAATTCAGGAAATGAGTTTGAATTTAAATTAAACAATATGTTGTAAAATGACAGTTTCTAAAATTTGTCAAATTGCTTTTAAACCCAAGTGTTGCTTCAACCTGCTGCTGCAGCAAATCTGATCTCTTACTGCGCTCCGTCTTAGTAAATCTATCGGGGGCCTGAGCCGGGGAACAGATGAGGGTCAGGATTTCATCCACAGGTAATGAACGACGTGTCACCGAGACAGAGACCGTGGTGCATGCTAAGAGTCGGCCGCTGGTTGTTTCCCTCCGTCTGCTTTAAGCCGAGCTCTGACTGATAGATTGCAGCCGACCCAAGGCTCCTCAATCAAAGCCGGGACCCTTCACTGCACAAGACCTGAGGAAAGAGCGGATTCGTATTCATCTCACAGCGTCTCTGACACACACCTCGTTGTTTTCGGGGGAAGCGCTATTTTACCGACGGTGATGGCGTCACTGCTCTATACATCTAAACAACCTTTAGATCACACAATAATGGGAAAAGAAGATAAACATGCTCATCCGTGTTGCAAAACAAGATTGCTCATCTGGGGGCTATAGGGCTCCTGCAGAACTATTAAATGCAGCAAAGCATCTCGTCGATATATCAGCTCAGCGGCTGCGATTCACAGGAGTTCAGAAGCGACCTAGAGGCTTTCATTAAATGCTGCTCCTGATAAATGTCTCTTATCCTGTAGATGGAATTTTGTGTTTTTCCTCTTTGGTGAACCAACACAACCCAAGGCACAAGAGCACAACAGATGACACCTAAAACCTCCCTGCGATGTTTTTGAGAGATGAAATTGAAGACTTGGCAGCTTCACTCGGCACATTTCAAATCTCTCAAAGCACCAGGGATGTAGTTTAGACTCTAAAGTTATTGTTTTCTGTCTGAAGGCATTCCTCTTCATTCCTTTTTCTCTCTCTTCTGTTTGTTTTTCCAGGACAGCCCGAGATGCGGAAGCAGCCGGCACAAGAGGTGAGACCCGTTGTATTATCCTGCCACCGAGAGTGGAGCTTATCTGCTGCAGCATCACGAGTAATATGTCAAGAGGAGGAACAGAGGCGGGAATGAGAAACCGCAGTTTGAGTCATTAACTACAAGAGGAGATTTCTCCTGAACCGGTCCGAGGGCCTGGTGCGTCACTGTTGATTATTTTCCCCTCAGCGCCGCTCCTTTCATGCCTCTGTGGCTGAGGAGGGACGACGGTTGATGACTGTTTTGAAAAGTGGTTGACAGGACACCATCTGCACCCTGAACACGTCGTTGAGGCTATCGCTTCGCTGCAGAGAGCGGTGAAAGCAAATCGTTTGCTTTGAGGGGTTTAAAGTCTAAGATTCGAGTGTGTTCAGTTGGGTCAGGATTGGTTTGGTGTATTTAAAGTGTGAAAGAGGCAGGAGGACGTCATTTCATCGACTAAACTAACAAAGTTGACCGGAATAAGCAGGTTTTTCAAGCGAGGGTAAAAAAAACCTCCTTTCCCATTGTAAGCCAGGAACTTTGCATTTCAGTTTTTTTTCCAGGTTATTCACATTCAATTTAGTTTTCTTTAAAGTCAAACGTTTTATCCAGAATCAGAGTGATTGTAAATTTAATCTGGAATCATCACCAGTGAAGCGATGACTCTATAAAACACGTACAGCAATAAGTTGATGACACAGTCCTGCAAATACGGGCTCGTGACCTTAGGGTAGAGAAAAATTGGAGCTACAGGGAAACTTGTATTCAATTTATTATGAGGGAGAGAAACACCAGTGTGGTTCTTTTATCTTGTAATTTAAACCACAGTTAAACTTTGGTCTGAATGTGAATTCATGACACTCTCTTAAAGATGTTGCTTTTTCCCGTTTGCACATTTGATTTTACATGATTATAAAGTAAATTGTTTCATTTATTGGATTAACTCTGGATCAACACAGCCTGCATCACCACAGGTCCTCTGAGCCTCTGTGTGCGTCCTGCATGTTTTTTATTTTGCGTTATTTGCAACCAAATCAAGAAGTTGGGGCCAACGCCAGCAGCCGAGTTCACCAGCTGACATTCAATCTGGCCGCCTAATTATGGTGGCCGCTCTCATCAGCTGGCCTGGCTGCACTTGGACGCTCCGCCGCTCTCCAGCGGATTATAACCCACCAGGTGGGCTGGCTGCACAAGGTGGCTGAAAGAGCAACTTTATACAAGTGTCCAGCTGATTTTATCTTCTGTCAACTCTCTTCTTTTCAATCCACAAATCCAGGATTCATGATGTTCTGTCGTATATGTGAAAGTGGCACCATTGTTAGCGGCGTTCAGCTTTTTGTCTTAAAGCGTCGAGTGTATTTTCAGTCTCTGCCTCCGACCCCTCAGTTTGTCAGAGTCTAATTGCTGCACTCGTCAGTCATTATGATGAACCGCCCACTCGCTACTGACGTTTAAAGGGCAGAGCAGATTAAGTTTATCACCGTTTCCTGTTTGCTTGGAAAGAAAGAAGATATCACTAGGAGCAGCTCTGAAATATGTGAAGGTCAGAAACCCTGTCTCCTTCATGTAAGTTGATGGGACATGGACCAAACCAATAAGTCAAAGTACACGTCAAATACATACAAAACACACATTGGTCAGGTTCTATTCAAAACCAAAGCACAGCCGAGCCAGCTCTACCTTTTTTTACAAAGCTTGAACTCACAGCAGCCAGTGAGATTAAAAATAAATGACTGGAATTAATCAGCTGCACCAGAAAGACCTCCGCCAAAACATCATGCAAACTCTGGACTGTTTTCTTTCCATTCGGAGGAGTAGCACATGTCGGAGCGAGGCAGGGTGCTGGTTCACAGAGTTCTGTGTGTTTGGACTTATTCCACATTCACACTTGAGTTTGTGCGAGACGTAGTTATACCTGTGGCTGCTGCTGTCATTGGCTCTCCTTCTGTGCGTTCGCCCTCCCACCTGCTGAGGCCCCTAAGAGCGTGTGATTGGCTCAGACTCTCTCTCCCCCAGACCTCAGTCTGCAGGGCGCTAATGGGCCGCGGCGTGAAATTTAGTACTGAGGCCACAGATGTTTGGGCTCGAGTCCCATCACATGCTGAGCTCCTGTGAGTGTGTGTTGTTTGCATTCATCCGTGGGTGCAACAATAGAGATATCTCTCGAAACAAGTGGGTTTTTTTGCATGTTGTGATGAAGGGATGCATTCAGCATCATGTTTTTCTAACATATTCATGTTTGTGTGCATGCACAAGCATTTTGTGTGTGTCTGTATGTGGAGAGCCACGCTGAGAGAGACAAATGAAATGCACTTCATCTTGGTGTATGCAAGCTCAGAGCGTTTTCAAAGGCTTCCTGATCAGAAGCCATGTCCGCTGCTGCGTTTGTCTCAATGAGGACGAGCAAAAATAAGAGGCTGGTTCTGTAAATGTCAAGAAACAGAAAAATACTGCTTCCCCACGTGTGTGTTTGAGAAACGGCACCATGACCCTGACCTATAAATGGAGAATTTAGTTTAATTTATGATTTAAATCCTGTGATAATGTCATAGAGATCATGTCTGTAGTTTGTCTTCATACTGTTTGAAATCACATATCATAAACATCATATTTGTCAGATCCTGAAAAGTGTGCGGACGGTACAAAGGAGTTCTATCTGTCCTTTGTGTTTCCAGCAGCTTTCCTGTTTCAGCTGCAGGAAAACGCTGACAGCCTCCTTCAGACTACTCTGCCTCCTCAACAGTTTGATTCCCATGCAAGAACATTCTGTGGGAGTACAGGGTGGGGGGGGTGTGTACAGAGCCAGCCACTCATTCCAAGCTTCTGCGTTAATAATTATTGAAATAAGATCAGAAAGAAAATAAATTGCACATGAATATTCCTTCCCAGCAGCAGCCTCAGAATCCATATGTGCAGCGAGGAAGTGAACCGGAGATGAAGTTAATGTTCCGCTCGGGCTCAGACAAAAACCTTTGCAACCTTTTTTTCCACACATGTCACCGCTGCCATTCTGGAGCCCATTTGAAGTAACGTGTGGGGTAAATTGTTTTTCTTTATCAGCGTTTTTTTGCAGCGTAGTTGCAAACCACTCCCGACCCTTTCCTCCATTAGTGGAATAAAAGGACGGGGGGGGTGTTAATAATGCATGGCTAATTGAAAGGGCAAGCACACAGAAGATATTCCCACCTGTTCTTTTGATGATGGATGTGTCCTCCCATTGAATTTTAATAACGCGGCTATGATTCATAACTTCAAACGGAGCGAATGCTGCGCCGAGCACTTTGAATAGTGGAAATTGGACATAACTGTCACTCCAAACTTTTTCTTTCTCGTGATGAATTTGAAATGTAAAAAGAAAAATAAAGTTTGTCGTAGTTGTACAAGGTTTATTTGTGTTTGTGTGTAACAGCTCTGCAGGACCAGGGTCTGAGGAGGAGGTGGGCGGGAACAGCCGACAACGACACAACCGTCACGGCAGAGAAGGAGGAGCTGCAGCCGGGGGAAGTCTGGAGAAAAGGATGGAGGAGCTGGAGAGGGTGCGTTCACTGACCCGGTCCTTTAATGGCACAACTATCATAACGCGTGATTGTTGTTCCCACGTAAAGGTTAACATAGAGTTAATTAAAACCTAAAACACAGGTGAGTAAATCTAACATCTGCTTTAAGACGTGAGGATACTTGTCGGTTTTATCGCCTCCTGCTGTGAAAAGGTCACAGAGGCTGTTGTTCATGAGGGTGCAACAATATTTGGAGCGAGACTGGAAAACATTTTACAGATGATGTCTCACTCTGACTAATTCACCACTAATTCCTGCTACTTCCTTGAATTAGCTTCATACCCGCTACAACATGAGGAGCTAATTACATAGTGAGTTGAAGAGTCAGTTCAATTTCGGTTTCTCACTACCTCTTTCTTTTTATTGTGTTTTTAGAATTAATAGTTTCAGTAAACAGGTTTATTCGCTGCTCAAGTAGAGCTGCGACCTACACCCTGGAAATAGGACGTGAATTCTGGAGTATATGTGTAGCGTAGTGTATGTAGTATTAGTAGTAGTGCAGTGTATGTAGTATTAGTAGTAGTGCAGTGTATGTATAGTATATATGTCAGAAAGTGTAAATCTTAATCTCTGTTCCCCTCAATATATCTAAAGCTAAATTGACCTGAGCAGTAGAAGTGTAAAATCACTGACTCCTCCAGCACTCTGAGGTTTACAAGCTTCCATTTCAAAGTTTTTCGGTCTCTGTCAGCAGCTTTTTGTTCAGATGGATTTCCACACCCTCCTTTCTTTGAGTGGCAGCTCGGGGTCTGATCTTCTGAAATTCTCCTCAGTGTTGTTGAAGCGATGACATTTTACGGTGCAGATATGTCTTTTCCTTCGCTCAGCGCTCCTATCAGACTCTCAACCCTCCGACTGCTGCCACGGCAGAAACTCTGCCCCGAATCAAATGTCACTCAGGGTGGATTTCCAAAAAGCTTTTTAAAGTCAGTAAGTGCTGCTGTGACCTCAGAGACTTCAGAGAGAGGTGCTGCTCTGGGTCAAATGAGCAGAAACACATTTCAAATGGTGTTTCTGCTCATTGTTTATTTCACTTTTATACAGGGAGAGGTGAGTGTGACTCAGGTCAGCTACATCTCTGATAATCCAGTCCATCATTCTAGATCCTTACAAAAGAAACAAGCTGGGGGTCATTGGATTGAGGGCGAGGTGAAGAAATATGAGGGAAAAACCTGAGGCGACCCAAACTGGGCTTTCATTAAAACCCTTAAAGAAACAACACACACAGAAAACAGACCAACAAACATAATGGTTCTGGTCGAATACAAATTCTGTGCCTTGTTTTTCATTTTTCATTTTCATTTTCATTTAACTGTTGTCCTCCATGTGAACACGTTGGTAATCTTGAGTGTGTGTGGTTGTAGGAGCTGGCCAGAGAGCGTCAGGAGACCGCCCGGCTGCTGAAGGCCCACCAGGACAAAGACGACCTCATCGGGAAGCTGAAGGAGGAAATCGACTTGCTGAACAGAGTGAGTGCAGCCCGCTCTCATGTCTGATGTTCTGAGCGACACTTTGTGTTTTTTTCACGCGTGGGCGGCTCGAGGGGGCTGTAAATCATCATCTGGCATTTTAGTGGAGTCGTGTATAATAGCTATGTGTTTCACTACAGTGATTTTTTCCCCCTGCAGTCCATTAGGGTTTGGACGTCAACAAACCTGTTTTCGGGTTTACACACGAGTTACAAGTTAATCATATATATTTGGCTCACAGGCACAGTCGGAGCAATTTGCATTTTATACACGGTACAAAAACTCACCAGTGGTTCGGTGACATTTGAGCCTGAAAAGTTGTCGGGCAGTGCAGATGGTGGCAGTTATGTCTTATTGATTTACCACCTGAGCTCAAGTTTGCTGCCTGCTGGATAAGAACATGATTGTGTGTCTCAAGAAAATTGAGAAAGATTATTTTTGAGTTTTTGCCCCACGTAAATTGAAGGGTATTTTCACTCACGTTGGGCAAACACTTCAAAAAACTGCAGTCCTGATATAATCCTCGTCTAATGGGGTTTGTAAGAATAGTTTTATAGAATAAAACCAAACGAAGAAATCAATAAGAAATAAATTGTGCAGTGGCTGAAAGAACCACAAACATCCTCCTCAGTTTTTCTCAGCCGGGTTGTGTGTCTCGCTCTACGTTCTGTTTTCCCCCTCGAAGAAGTTTGGTCTGTGTTCATCCTTCAAATTTCAAAAAGCCTCCAATTAAAAGTCTCAAAGTGAATTTTAACATCATACTCACTGTGTCCTTTCACATTCAGTCGAGCCACGGGCCAAAATGAAATTATCACTGAATTACAACCCTGCCGTCTCCAGCCGGCCGGTCTGCCTCTGCTGCAAGAGAAAGATTTTCTGTCAGCTCCGTTCAGAGGAGCGGCTTCATTTCACAGTCGGGTTTCTTCCCAAAAAACAGTGATTTGAGGTTCACTGCACATGAGCTGATTCAGTTTGTTGATTATCGACTGATCTTTATTGTGAATTGATCCACACTGAGGCTAAATTCTTCTTCTGCGATCTGATAAGGGGCGGCAAGCAGGTTCTGAGTTTAAACCTCACGTCCTTCTCCCCGTGTGTAGTTGTGTTTTACACTGACATGAACCCACAAGCGTGTTTTCTACGTTGGGTTCGGCCTCACTGGTGCAGATCCGGTTTCCTCCTGCAGGGTTGAGAGGTCAGTGGTCGCTCAGGTTCGCCGAGCGAAACCTCCCCGAACTCTCTGAACCTGTCGCTCCTTTTCTCCTGTAGACCGACACAGATCCCTTCTCGACTCGCAGCCGTCACCTGCGTTTTCTGGGTCACAGGTAGAATATACCTCTGAAGGGAAAAGCGGCGAGTGGAGACAGATCTTAAAGACTCTGTTATTCTGTTAAATATTCAGAGAAAATAGATCTCACCTGTCCTCTGCAGAGTCCACTCGGATCTAAACGAGAGATCACACGTGTACATTTTCAGAAACAAGTGGAATAAATGTTGTTATTATCTGGACACTCCAAAAACCATCAGCAAACACAAAGAGTCCAACATTCCAGGAGGCACCTTGCAGATAACATCTCATGGAAGCTGCTTCATGTAAGGACGGTGGACGTGTCGATAGCCATCAGAAATGTCCCCGAGAGGCTCCTGCAAGGGCTGATGGGAAGGCAGGAGATAACAGCTGATCCAGTGTAGCGTCTCGGTGGAGAACGATAGAAGCCTCGGCCACTGTAGAAGTTTATTTGTGGGAGGAAGAGAAGATAAAGCATCAGCCTCTTGATATTTGAAGACAAAGATGAGATCTCTAAAAAACAGAAACTGAGCCAAACAACTAAAGCGATTGTAAATGTAATGATACAGAAAGTTGTAGATTTTCCATTTTCAAATGTTAAATCTGTGTCAGCTGATTCGCTTTGGAAATAAATGATTGCTTTTACTCGTTAGCTTTTGTTTTCCAGAAGGACATATCCACATAATTCTGTGTGTGTGTGTTGATAGACATTTTTAGAGAAATAAGCCAGAATCCATTTTGTACATAAATCCTGCAGTTTGATGTTAAAAGTGTTTTTTTTTATCACTTCCTAGCAAAGATGACATTTCTCTGTAGAAACCTGTGACCTCCTCAGTTTGACTTTCCTCCCTGTGCTCTGGGTTTCACACCCAACATTCATACGACCAGTGATGAAGCTGAGAATGAGGAGGCGGACAGGGCAGGAATGGAAAGTGTTAGTGTCTAATTTGTTGCTATTAAAGCAGCTAGAGGAGCTGTCAGCGAGAAACGTTCGCTTCAACTCGGTGTAATATTCCACCACGTGACCAGGCAGAGGTAGAGGAGTGCAGTGCATGCAGGTAAATCTGTGATAACCACCGAGATGTGTGTGTTTCTCCCTCCTGCAGGACCTGGACGACATTGAAGATGAGAATGAGCAGCTCAAACAGGAGAACAAGACTCTGCTGAAGGTGGTGGGTCAGCTGACCAGGTAGAACGGCTCTGCCCGGACCCGACACTTTATCAAAACACCAGACTCCCCCCTGATGATGAGCGGAGCCTCCCTTTTCTCCTCCCACCTCCTGCCCCGGGTCAAGTCCTTCATTGTGGCATTTTTATCTGTTTGATTCTGTCTCTACTTCTGTGTTAGAGGTGAAACTGTAAAGTCCTCGCAGCCTTAAATGCATCGTCGTCGTTGTGAAAGCTGAGTGAAGCGGGGGGGCTGACGTGCTCCTATCCCGACAAGATATATACATATTTAATGTAAATGTATTGTATATAGGCCATTTAGATCTGTTCATTATTTTGATTTTTGATAAGGTCTTAAAAAGCAAAAGTGAATGAATGTATGTGCAAGAACAAGCGCACACTAAGTCTTGTAAAACATTTTTAGAGGCTAAAAAGAAAGTCTCGTATTTTACACATTTCCACGTCTTTGCACGCAGCAGATCTCCAGTGTTGTGCTGTCTCTGGGACTATGGATGATTCTTAAGGTCAGGCATAAGAAAAAATAAGGAGGAGACGATTTTATTTCAATTATTCTGCACTTTTTAAGACTATAAAATTACTAACGTTAAAACAAAACACCTTGTGTATATGAATCGGTGAAACCTCACAAGCTCACTCAAAGAAATCTGCCAAGGAGGTTATATATTTCCTCAGATTTAATTCCATTGTTCTAAACATTCAGACTTTATTCACTCAGTAAAAAAAATCTTCCTCATTTTTTGAGCCTGTCCCTAATCCTCTTCTATAGTTGGACATTTGGACCAAACTCAACATAATTACTGCTTCAGTACCATCAGCCAAAGTGGGCTTAGCGCCTCGCAATGCATGTGAGACTTTTGTTTTTATCAATTCTTTTAATATAAAACTAAAATCTGGTTATCCGGTGCCAGATTTACCTTTTTCCAACAATTATTTCTTGGTACATTTCACATTACACATCCCACTGGAGCCTCCACAAACCCCAATGAAGAAAATCTAAGTTTTAATTATTTCCAGTCGGCACAAGCAAGAATTTATATAAATTTATATCCTTTATGCTTTTTTAATGTTAGCGTCTGAGTATTATAAGTGTCTGCGATGAGATGTTTTAGGGTGAAACCCTCGTCTAGTATAAACTGTATGTGGATTCTCTTTTTTTTTTAAATTTGCTCTTGTTTACAAGTTATGGTCTTTTGCAATATGTGGTAGTGAGTTAGCTGCTCTCTTTTATGGCATCTGCGATGTGTGGAGTGAGCTACAGTGCATCTTCGTATGATAACCAAATGAACTAAAGGATATTTGAAGTGCATCTCTTTCGTTTACTCAAGGGAACAGGTTCGGCTGGTTGAGGCATTTTATTTTCTGTACTTAGATCATGTTTATTCCAGCGAGGAGCCGCTCGCTGAGCTCCTGCACTGTGGCAAATCATCGATAGACGATCAATAGACGACTCTGCTTCCACATGCGCTCACGTTTTTTGCGGGTGAAGTTTAAACCCGTCGCAGACAGAACATCACAGACCCATCTCTCCTTCCATTACATTATGCATGTACAGAAGATTAAGTCATTTAATAAAAGTTTGATTATCTCTCTCCTCACTCGACTCGCTTGTGTTCATTAAGACTAATTTGATGTGATGATACTGTGCCACTGAGTTGGTAATGTAATGTGACAGCGGCGGGTGTCTACTTCCTACACACACACATACACATACTCATGATGATTCAACATGCCAATCACCAGACTGACTGCAACTGGGGCATGAATCCTCCGTTCAGCCTGCAGAACCTCTCGCATACGACTGAAATGCATTAATTCCCTTCACCTCGTGAGGTGAGAAGCATCAGTGTAAGAACCCCATCAGGACTAATGTCGACTAAATTTCCAGATAATGGCTTTGTTCAGTTGATCGAAAGTGCTGCAGGGTTCCTCCGTAATCCCGATTAGCATTTTTATGGGAGTTTGTAGGGTTTCACATTTGAAATATAGACACAGAGAGCTGCCTCCGAGCTGCATGTGAACATGGTTTGGCTGCAACAAATCAGTGTCTCAGCTAATGCAGTGAAGATGCCTTTAATTTAAAGGACCTATATTTACCTCTGAATGTTTAATTGAAAAACAAAGTCAACGTTTAATGCATAGTTCTGGAGTTTAGATGAGAATATATCTAAAATATATTCGTAGTAGAATCTTTTACTGCTGTAGCACAGCTCATAATGACGTTGATCTGGTTTGTTTCTACGTCCACCTGTGAATACATATAACCTCTAAATCCTGATAGTCAGGGGAGAGATGAGAAGCAGGTCTTATCTTGTTCTTGAAGAAAACTGCCCATATTTCATTATCGGTTGGTTTCATGCTCTTGCTTCTCTGGACAATCTCCTCCATCTCCAGGGTCCCCGGTGCGAGGAGGCACTCATCCGCACCAGGGACAGCAGGGGTCAAGGTGCCAGAGAGAGCGAGAACGAATGGATAGAATGATACTGGACACGTTTGTGCAATTTCCTCTGCCTCATTTTCTCAACCACCAGTGTGAAGATGACCTGTGAACCTTTTAAACCTCAATATCTCAAAACAGAGCGATACCTGAAGGTGACACCTGAAAGTTAGTATTCAAGTTGAGTCGTACTTTACTTCCTGCACAATCTATCAAGTTGGTCAGACTTCTCCATCATTCGCTTTTTGAAAGTCACACAGACGATCATTCTCTGAAAACCAGCTTCACAGAATAACACGACTTCAGAAGCCTCGCATGCGCTTCCTTCAACACCTGCGCCACATGTGGAGCTGCCCTTTGTTGAAATGTCCTGTAAAAGTCAATGGGATACCAACAGCTCACAAACAGGGAGGGATCAACTAATGACAGTCCAGAGGCATGACATTTACAAAATGGCATGATTCAACTCGTTTGGTACGAAGTCGAGAGAAGAGCAAACATTTTATTCTTTTCTTTTCCATCACAACAGATTCAGAGAGTTTCTGCACCAAGAAGCAAGATAATGATACAGCATGTTCAAATTATTGTTTTCAAGTGACCGAAAATCTAAATAAATGATAATTGTTACACCAGTACAAGTAAAATTACAATGTTATGCAAATAATGCTGTATTAATGAACAGGAATTAAGAGATTAAAAGGATATTGTCCATTTCCAAACCTTTAGTGCATCTTTTATACACTTTTTGACAAATGATTATAGCTTTGACCAGCAGCTCTTACATTTACAAAGTAATTCAGAACATTTTCGACCCATTTTTATCAACGCAACTGTCACTGCTAAAATGATTTCTGTCTACCCTCCACCCCTCATAACCCATTATCCTAAAAAAAGATCTATTTGAGGCAGCACTACAAACCCATATTCTGCTCTGCCCTTTGGACGGCTGCTGTGTTTGACGTCTACGACTTTGTTTCGTCTTCTGTCAATGTTGTTGAGCGGATTTCTGCCCACTTGAATTAAATGATGTTGTTTAATAATTTCAGGGTGGAATTAATAAGAACTCTCAGAGTGATCAAGGCAAAAATATTTTGAATGTAATTATCCTGAAAGACATGATTGGACGTCAATATTCATGAGGGCGCTCCGCAGGCTGGAGAACAAACACAGTAGTGCAGCAGACAGGAGGAGCAGGGGGCCTTGACTTTTCTCTGTATTTAGAATTAACTAATTAAAAATGTTTTCTCCCTGAGAATTTTAAATGTCACCTGAAACCAAACATTAACAAGCTAAACCTGCTATTCATGGGAAATAAGGAAACCAAATGAAATTAAAAACCAAATGCTACAGAAATGTTAACCTAAACATAACCTTAAACTAAACCTTAACTCAATCTTACCCTAACCTAACCTTAACCTCACCTTGAAGCAAGTATTTTTAAGTTGATCTCCGTTATGAGGACTGGCTCTTTGTCCAAATCTGTAAGACATGTCCTCATAATTTGACCGTGAAAACAGCTTTAGGTCCCCACAACATGAGTAATACGTGCAGCACGCACACAGAATGCATATAAAACCATCCCATTGTGCACAAAATGTCAGTGTATTGACTGCCAGAGAGAGATGACTAAGACTTACTATAAATGTGATGACAGAGTGCCGCTCTACATTTACCACCCACAGACTCTTAATGGCTGCTGGAAACACTATCGACGCCTGATCCTGAATGCACTGGTGTCATTTATTTGAACTGCACGACGAAAATAACAAGCTCCAGAGTTACCTCCACCGTGCCCCACTTCCCGTTCTCCTCCAGTTGATGGCAGTATTCCCAGCCTGGAAGCCATCACTGTGGCACCAACAGGCAGCTCAGCCCATCATGTGATGTGTGTCTGTGTGTGTGTTACTGGCTTATGTGTTCAGTGATCCTCGGTGACTTGCTCTCCTGGTGGAACACCCATGTAATATCTGAGATAGGCAGAGGTTAGTGGGAATCCTGAAATCCAAATCCAGGAAGATGGAAGGTGTCGTTTCATATTCCACCTGTGGTATGTTGACACTTCTCTCAGTGGAGCTCCTTCCTTTTCACAAAAAATAACTCAAATACTGTTACATAACATCCTCATGTAAGTAAATACTGATGGATTAAGGGCAGAACATGAAAACCTTTATTATCCTGGAAGTGCTATTATTATAATGTCTTACACGACAGGTCTTGTTTATGATAGATTTGTCATTGACTATAATAATCAGGCTGCACACCAACAACAATGCAGTTAACTCAGATAAATTCTTGCTGTTTCCATCATTTCTCCTCCCATTTGCTCATCCATTTTAATCAGCCCAAACCTCCAGAGAGGGAGCATGTGAATTTGAATGTTGTTGATGACTCACAAAGTCCATGCCAAGCAGAATAGGAGGCAGCTCTGGGGAGCATCAGCAACCTCTGAAGGTCACTCCACGCTGTTACCATGACAGCACTGGCCTCGCTCGCAGAAGTTGTTGCCCGTTGTGTTGCTGCTGTTGCATAGCACAATTTAAGAGAGGACCTGCCTTGGGATACATGCGAGCACAACAACTCCTGCTTGTCATGCACGCACACACACACACAAACATGTGCAGCCTCCCTTCCTTCTCCTCCCTTCCTTCTCCTCATCAGCACTACCAAGTCAGCAGGGGAGCGGCAGAGGTGCATGTTCAGCCCTGAGCTGAGTCTCATTCTGAGCTTTCCCCTGGGACGGACACATAAACACGTACAAGCATCGTTGAGCAGGTTGTCAGAGAGTTGAAAAAGTCTTCCTGGTGAATCCAGGGTGTGTGGAAGAGGTCGGAGCTTCACCTCTCCGTGTGCTACACTGCAGGATGTAAACAGAGTGTGAATACTCTGTGCAGATGGTTCAGACAGACACATAATCATCCATCTGTCATCTAAGCTTACTCTGAAAAATGGCGGTCAACAGCTTAAAGCGGCCGTCTGCCTCCTCTTTATCCTTCCATTCATCTGTCGGCCATCACCACCCACAGCTACCTGCCCTATCTACGGACTACGTGCAGCACACAGGTGGCTGCTTGCTATATGGGAGTGCAGAGTTCATCCATATATGCATGACCATTCCCAAGGCAGATCACCAGGGAGGTAATTTCATAGGAAGCTCTCACAAGGCAATTATCCCTGTTAGGTTTCACTCTGCTCCGGCATAGGGTGCACTGTCCTGGAGGGCTCGGACCTGGGATTCCTTGAAGCTTCCCCTCAAGACTCACTGCTGTAATAAAAGTCATGATGAAGAGACTTTACGCTATAGCTACATCTCACCTGCATGATTGATAACTGAAAAGAAAAAAACTAAATTCAAATATGTATGAAAACTAGAATGACACAGTGGAGCAACAGTCCCCTTGTTATGAAATCACATTGAATTAACTGGCCCACACTCATTGATATCAGTCCTGTAAATATGCCAGATTTAAAAAAAATCAAGACCCATGAATAATTCTTCGCCCCCGATCTAGATCGAGGTTCTTTCTTGATCCATACCACATCCGTCCATCAAGTTTTTCCCCTGACTGGTTTTTGCATAATCCTGCAAACAACAAACAAATAGGCAAACCCAGATGAAAACATAAGTGAGAGCACACGATTGTTCAAGAGTTTTTTGATAAAGACAGGACACACACTTTATCATATTTTAAGGCTGAGTCCTCACATGTCGTCCTCTCTCTCCCCTCCTCTCCCATTCCTGTCTCTTTCAACTGTCACTGTCAAAAATAAAATAAAAAAGATTTGATGAAAACAATCTGACCAGAAAATCCATTTAGTAGCTTCCAGTTGCATTACATCATCTTCTCTGCCGTGAGACGCCGGCCTTTTGTGGTCTTCACTTTACCCCATTAACCGTCTGTGTGAGGTTTCAAAACATAACAATTTCGGCAAATGAGGGTTCTGGTTATCGCCTGCTGGAAATGTCTCACGTCACAGAAACTGCATCTTGTGTTATGGGTTGTAAACTTTTGCCTTGTGCTTTTACTCTTTTTAAAAAAACGCTTGTCAACTTCTCCTGAACAAAAACACCAAATAAACAAAAAGCTGTGTGTGTTTGAGTCCAGTACTTTGTCCAGATCCTCTTCCCTGTTTTTTTTTCTCCTCCTGTTTCTG